TAGGCGAGAAGAAGAATTTTAAATTCTATCCTGTGTTCTATAGGGAGCCAGTGTAAGGCAGCCAGAACAGGAGTAATGAAGGCATATGAAGGCAAGAAGGTTAGTGGTAACTCTAGTGGGAAATAAACAAAATTGAATAAGTCACTATTTCGATTGACCCACAATTTGTTAAATTATAATTGCTGACAATTATCATTATTATACCTTTCCATGTGTGTGCCTTTTGACTAAACTGCATGCTTATCAATGTATGTGATGAATGAACCTATTTCATAATGTGGACCTTTGTTCATACCCAAAATAAATTTCCCTCGAGACTGTGGGTGACTGATAGCCCAATATTTATTTTTTCCAATAAGGGGTAAATTGCCAAATAGAGCTAAATTAATTTTTAAAATCATATTCTGAGCAGAAATGTGTGTCTCAGAATGATTTACAGAGTTACAAAGCAGTGAGGATACATCAAACTTCAAAATGTCAAAAAGGTGAAATAAAAAGCTCGATTTAAAGGATATGGCTAGAGTGGAAAACTGCCGTGAGTTCAATCCATGATCTGAGCTTCAAGTCCAGAAATCTGTCAACTAAACTGATTGGTTGGATTGCCTGCTCCCATCCTTCAGCTGGAGCTGTCGCTGGCCAGAGAATTTATCTGCCGTGCCACATCCTGTGTCAAAAGACACATCAACGAGAGGCTACGCTTTGTCAATCTCACAGGCCATATGTCACTCATTTCAACATCTGTGAGTGTGAGTGTGTGTGTGTGTGTGTGCGGTGTTTGCATTGATGTTTGAAGCATGTGAGTATTTGCAAAATTGCAGATGTTGTCAGTGCAGCCCATTTAGTAGAGAAAAACAATCCAACACTGTATTTCTGTTACATTTTTGTGTCAATACTTAGAAGATTTTATCATACATTTGTTGTGCAAAGGATACATTCTGTCCTGTGGCGTTTTTCATTTGGTATATTATATTATTATAGAATAAAACACTTAAACACAACCATGCAATTAGATTTAATATCCACTGAGCTCTAATGATTATGTGCAGACTTGAATGCTTTTTCCCCAGTGAATGACATTTGAATGCACATTCCCATCTCAGGTCTGTGTTTCTCTCTCTTCCTCTTTTCTTGCCCTCCTACTGTGTGACACCCTGATATTGGATTGACCTTATAGGCTGCAGAGATCGGGACATCATTAGCTGTGCGCCCAGCCGCAGCCTCGCTGCTGAGGCCTCCTCCACTGAGCCCCTGCCCCCGGACAGATCATATAGCACTGATAGAAACCAGCTGGGCTCCGTTACACAGCAGCCATGGTGACAATAGAGATGTCAGCAATATCAAGCAGAGACAGACCCCATTAGAAGCCCTTGCAGCCCTGTATGTAATGTCAAAGGTGTGGATTAAGGGAGGCTATCTAACTGCTATGATGTTTTACATTTTTATTCAGAACAAAATAATAAAATAATACAAATATTATATTATGATGAATAAAAGCTTATTAGCGACACTGCATAATAATTGTATAAATTAGCATGGTATAATAATCCCAATAACACAGTTAGCCAAGTCTAGTATTACTGTGATATGATATTCTATGAGAAGTAATAATTCAATCAAATGTACGAGTGTAGGCCTGGAAGACCGTGCTTTAATCAAAACATCAAGATTAAAAACTTTCCGACACACAGATGATTTCTTTCTCAATCACTACATCGTCAATATAGCTTTTTTTAAGTTACAAAACCTTCAACCTGACAATAATCCATGCTAAATTATACTTTCATGGCAGCAATTATTTTTTAAGGGAAGGTCACATTTTCCAATTGGTCGATATCTCATTTTGGTACAAAACTCTTGTTTCTCTCTAATTCTCTGCAGACTATTTCCCTCTCCCACAGTCATGATCACAGCTAAAGGATCAAGCTGAGAGGAGGACTTATTGTTTTCCAATAGCTGCCCCACAGCAGAGTACTGAAGCCTTGGGACTTAAATGACCACAGAACGTATCGATCTTCATAAGGCAATGTTTTTGTTGTTAAATAACCACTGCAGGAAATCCGATGAAAGGTCCTGACCTTTGGCTAAGTCCCTACCCTTCCACCTTCACTGGGTTGTATGAAATCATTCCGGTATGGTGGGCTTTACTGGGAGAAAGTAAATACCGATGCCACTTAATGTTAGATTACGTTATGGCCTTCACATTAGAGTGTTATTAATGATAGAGGGTGCTTTTATGAAAGGTTTGTCCCCAGCCAGTTCCCATATGTGAACGGAGAGAATGATCACTTCCCTGAAGGCCTGAAGTCGAGAGAATGATTATGGATTGAATTTATGACTTGCTTTCCTCTGGTCTCTGAACACTTATTTGTTTTCTGCTAGCGTGATGAAGCTCTTTTCAGAGCCTCTATTGAAAGTCAGGAAATTGTTTTTCTCATTAGCCACGGACGTTGCGGTCTGAGTTCTTTATATCATCTGTGAACAAGGCTCCCATTTCGGAAAGATGCAAAGGCAGCCACCCTGCTGGTCCCAGGCCTAACTGTGACAACAAATGAAACGAATAGAAAAATGAAAAAGTGAAAACTCATGCTTCTGAATGACAACAGGGAAATCACTTTCCGTCTCACACTGTCTTTGTTTCTCTCCCTCCCTCCTGCACTCTTCGTGTACCGTCATCGTCTGAGCAAACCTCCAAGGCAGTTCGAGCTAAAGTGGGGAATTTAACGAGCCTCAGCACACGTTATTGGCAAACAGTTGACATTCGTACAATTGAATGTCCCGGTGGCCAAACTCAAGCAGCCACGGCCACCCTCTATTACCCCTACACTCTCTTTCAGATCACTCTTCCTCTGTGTTTCTGCATCTTATGTTGCCTTTCAAGTTTCATGTTGGCTTTGCACGTGTGTGGGTGTGCAGCAAGTGCAGGTCTACCTCCTGAAAACACAAAAAGTTGTACATGTTTTACATTGTCTCTCCCTCCCACTCTCTGTTATGCTCTCACTCTCTATCTTAGCAGCATAACCCTTATTACCCTCCTAATTGGATCATGCAACGCTCCTTTGAGTTAGCTGAGCAGGCCAAGTGACCCACAATCCCTCTGTCTTGTTCTACCTCATGCCAGAGTTATCTCTTCTACTGTAGCAGAGGAGCTGAAAGCATATCACAGTACCACAGGAAACACAATTCACTGAGAAGATCTGTATCTAACAAGTCATACACACATCTAACTGTGAAAAAGATAAAGCATCAAATCGTTTTTTTCTTTGCGAGGGAAGGATTTATGGTTCTTACTACAAAGACAAAAAGCAGTCATTGGCCTTTTAAATAAAATATAATGGCGTCTGCTTATCAGTATTCCTTCCAGTGATCTTCACTCGACAAAGTGGCAGTCTCCGTCGAATGCGCCGCAATACTGGAGAGATAAGGGAGTAATATAGCAGATAGCAATGTTCTCACCTTTAGATAATTTTGCGTGTAGAGTGTCAGATGATTGCTGATTATCGAACCGCTTTACAGTTGATCTGAATCTCATCTGCACTTAACCTCATTGTTCCTGGAGCAGAGGTGAGAGGAATGTCAATTGGAGTGTGTCTTCTGCTCTCTGGCTCTGTTTCAGCGCCCTCTCTCTATCTGCCTTTCACTCACACTGACACACGCACACACACACACACACACACACACAGGGATACAAGCCTCGTGCACACACAAGCAAACACATTCAGAGCGCTCTATCCCTCTCGCAAACAAACACAAACACATCAAGAGCTCCGCGTTCTCCCCACTAACACGCTCACACAAACATCCAGACTGGGTGGATGTCTGTGGTACAGAGCAGACACAGGCCCATGAAAAATGCATGTCCCCTTTGCGTGTTTCATAAGAAGCACTCATCGGGATTCCGTTCCCATCTCAGCTGGAACACCACACAGGAATATCAATTACACTGGCAATTTGGGTGGCAGTGTAGGCAGGAATGGCGCTGAAGGAGAATATGGGATCTACAGTGTCATCGTAATGAGAGGGTCACTGTCTCCTATAGCTCTCGGGCCACTATGGCTTTCGCGGATTATAAAATACAGGGGGGGCTTGAATGTGTTAGAAGTGCTATTGAGTACGGTGGGGGAATGGTGAAAGGGTGGCAAGCCAACGAGGGACTGGAAAATAAAATAACCTTTTGACGCAAAGTGGAGCAACAGCCGACCTGAGAGATGCTTTGGGGTTTATAATCGTGATGGTGGGACTACAGTGACTTTATAAGTAACAAGTTTATGAGGACTCCGCTTTTACTCTGAATATTTTATGCAAAACTAAATATTTAACTACATTTTTACATTTCAATTGCATAACCTCCTTTACTCAAACTACAGAGCGTAGTTTGTCCCTAGTTTTTTAGTCATTTGTCATGTGCACAAAAACGCTGTGGAGTTACTCCAGAGTGTTTAGATGTAATCCCAACAGTCAACAAGGAAGTCAAGTAGTCTAAGAAAGAGTATATTATTCCTACCTCTTTAAGATACATATTATGAACTGGCTCTCAGGTATAATTACTGTAGGTTTAATTCAATTCGTTTTATCCTAAAGGGGTCTGCCTTTTGTGTATTTGTTGAATTGTTGAAATCACACACCCTTGGATTTGGATCATTATTTCCTCTGTGCATAATAAAAGGACAACAAGATAAATGCTTTCGGTTATACCAATTGATTTCATTTATATAAAATAAGAAGCACCAAATCCAGACGCCTAGTGTTCAACAAGTAACAATTGCATTGCTACGGTAATGAAAATATACTTTTAAAATAATATACTACCACACTGGTTGCACATTTCTCTTCATATCATATGAGCGTGTGTCTCCAAATGACATTGTGGGTATTGAAATGTAAAAATACTTTGATTTGTAACAACTCTATCTTTCAAATGTAATTTGACATGATGTAATATGCATTTGTATACCCTGATTTCAACGTGCACTAACGCGTGTATCTATTTCTGTTTTTTATAGGAGAATCCTTACATGTGCAACAATGAATGTGATGCTACGACTGAGGAGCTGGCTCATCCTCCAGAGCTGATGTTTGACTTTGAAGGTCGCAACCCCACAACGTTTTGGCAGTCCACCTCATGGAAGAAATACCCGAAGCCCCTCCAGGTGAACATCACGCTGTCATGGAACAAAACCGTCGAGCTGACTGATGACATCGTACTGACCTTTGAGTCAGGCAGACCCGAGCAGATGGTCCTGGAAAAGTCCCTGGACTACGGCCGGACCTGGACCCCGTACCAGTTCTACGCGACAGACTGCCTGGACGCCTTCACCATGGAGCCCAAGACGGTCGGAGACCTCACCCAGCGCACTCTGCTGGATATCATCTGCACTGAGGACTACTCCCGAGGCTACGTGTGGAAGAACGACAAGACGGTACGCTTTGAGATAAAGGACCGCTTTGCCCTCTTTGCCGGGCCTCGGCTACACAACATGGCCTCGCTGTACGGCCAGCTGGATACCACCAAGAACCTGCGGGACTTCTTCACCATCACTGATCTGAGGATTAAGCTGCTAAAGGCAGCCACTGGAGCCACCATGGTGGATGAGAACAACCTGTCCAGATACTTCTACGCTATTTCTGACATCAAGGTGCAGGGCAGGTAAGATCCATTTATATTCCACCAAAAACCACTGTTTGTCTAAAAAGATATGTGTTGGTTCAAATCCTTTCTAGTAAAACATTCATGAAGCTGATTTGTCAATATTTTAAACTGGACATGTTTAACATCCCGTTTCCTTGTTAGCAGTCTTGTTCTTCATTGCTTTTGTTAGGTTGTTACTTCGCTTCGTTGCACAGACATTTGTCTCCAAAATCTGAACAGGAACAAGCTGTGGTAAAAATAGTCTTAGATTGTTTTGTTTTTTTAATAGTCTTTGTCTGGGGAAATGTGTTTAAAACGTGAGTAGGTCTGTATCAACGCCTTTTAAATTACTGTTGTCCTCCGGATTGGATATAGTGAGATAATTGGTGTCTATGAATACATTTCAACTAGGAGGATAACTTCATGTAATTAAGTGAATTGACACTTTGCATAACTGATACAAGTGCAAAAAGACGCTTCAATGCCTCCATACCTTCGGGCTATGTTTTGTACAATTGTACTTGTTAACACGGAGCAGCCAACGTGTTGCAGTGGCCTGGAGTAAGTTCAACCAAGCCCAAAATACCGTTTCTAAAAGGAGAATGAATCAGGCAAAAAAAGGAACAGCCTGAGCAGCCGCTAAATTCGACACTCCTAAATTACTTATTACAACCCTAACTTGACAAGGACAGAGGGCTGAGATTACCTCCTGTGCGCCGTGGCAAAGAGAAGAGTTTTAATGCATGTCCCTCTGCATTTTTTATTGCAGACACTCATCAAGATTCAACAGACATCGCATAATCCCTCAATATGACATTACGATTATTTGGCCAGGTAGCACATCTTTTCTAGAGAGCTGGAAAACCTTAGGTTGAATTATCTGCCTTGAAATGTTTCGTTACAAAAGAGATATTTTCTTTTGATAACAATGACTTTTGGAGGATTTCAAAATGTGTAAAAAAGAGAATTATGATAAAAAGAGCAAAACTGTTTTTCTTTAAAGGGGACCTATCATGCAAAATGCACTTTTGTACGTCTTTTATACATGAATATGTGTCCCCGGTGTTCCAGGGAACTCACCAAGTGTCAGAAAACACAACCCTATCTCTTTTCCTCCATACCCAAATCTCTAAAAACGGGGCTGCAATGGATCTGATACAGACTGATACAGATTTGAACATTTCTCTGACGTCAGGACGGCGGAGCTGACCTATCAGGGGAATGAGAGGTTGCCGTGGCATGGTAACAGCATGGTAACAGCATGGTAACGTGACGCTCGTAACTCGGCCCCCTCCTTTGCAGGGGGGCGTGGTCAGCTGCAGCTCATGCAAAGACAGGGTGGAGGAGAGCAAAATAGAGCGAAATGAGGCATGGCTAAAATGCATGATCTGTTTGATATTTTGAAAAAGAAAACGTATAAATATACCTTATATAGGTATGGCCCTACAATATATTATTCAAATATAGCATGATAGGTCCACTTTAAGTCCAAATAAACCAATTCAGTTCACTTTTAAAACTAAGGGAAAGAGAGGACAGATTTCACATGAACGCAGAGAAAAGCTGGTAGGCATACAATACCTGAACGATATAAAACATCTAAAGTGAAGTGTTTAATGTCTGATGAAAAACAACTACAGCGTTGTTACAGCGAATTAAACCGAAAGCTAAGGATCTGTTTTCACAGTTATTGTAATGCGTATATTAGCTAAAGGCAGTACTGGCGAGAAAAGACTATGTGATTTAAGTGGGACTAGAGATGGAGTTTATTGCCAATTATATGAGGATTTAAGTGGTCTTTAAAGTGAAATGTCCCTAACTTTTTGTGTTCTTCTGGGTGGATTTTAATGAGAAACATGAGCTGTATTTTAGAAAGGGAATCTTAATGCCACTAGTTTTATCTCTATAGCCCGTGCAGGGAGAACATGTTTTTTTGTGTTTTGGTCTCTAGAGGGAAAGATCCAACTTGTTAGCTGTTAATTGAGCCACTTTATTCATTAGATAGTTGCTAACTGTGTCTGTCTGCCCTTTGGTGCTGAGCAGGTAGAGTGCTGTGGGTTCATAAGATGTGATGGCTCAATAAGGGCGTAGTTTTGAAGGTCCAAAAACCCAAACAGCTAGGAGAGACTGCAGAGTTGTTGATTTCTTAGTTTGACAGTCCCCCTTAACATGACTAATACTATTTTTGATCTAATGTTGATATCAACTATATAGATAAATGCAGTTATGAAACAATTATATTCTTTTTACTTTACATACTCCTTCCTCTCCACTTAAAAAGTTCAAATGTTCTTTTCCAAGTTGAAAACCTACATTTTCAGTAAAATTAGGAAGACCTCCTCTGCATATGTCATTTACACAGCTTGTGATGTTGCATCGTATAATATATCCATCAGTGAGTCATCAGAATGCCTCTGTGATTTTCAGGGAATGGAAACATTGTCGTTTCATGATGCATGAAAATGGCCCACATGATGCTCATGAAGCCTCTACAGCTGCTCTCCAAATGGGACCGGTGTTGCTTGCTGCATTTGGTTTATATGAGGATAACTAGGTTGGTAATGACCCATCAGATGGGCCCTCTGTGAGTTGAAACAGTTACTCCCCAATTAGAATGCAGCCGACTTCAATGGCAGATCAGAACCATTAGCACGTTGGCTAATTGGTAGGAGACTAATCTTGTAATTAAGAGCATTTGCAGCTGATTAAATGGTAATCATCAGAGAGACATCAGTGAAACGTGGAGAATTCAGATTTGCCGGTCAATGTTTCCAAATGTAGCTTTGCCCTGTTTTATAACGAGTTATGTTGAAATCAATGAGGTTTCCTTTTTGAGCAAGCTACAGTAAAAGCTTTAAATAATGCACATTGTAAGATATCTCTAGTATTTTGTTTGTGCTGGTTGTAAAGCCCTAATAAATAATTCAGCTAACATGAGCTTTAATAACATGTTTGATATCTTTGTTCACATAACTCACAACTTTTTCATAATGGTGGGATATTTGCAATGCAGGCCTATCAGAGAGATATACATGTTCTGCAGTCAGACACACTCTTCCACATGTACTGTAAACATGAATTGATGAGTTCTAAATTGCAGGGCTTGCTACCGAGCACAGAATAACATCTCCCACAGATATTGTATATTGCTATTCATTAGTAAGAGTGGCAAAAGGTTGGATGGGAGGGAAATAAGCTATTTTGCCCGATGTTTCCATCCTGCCCCCAGGTATCAAATTCAATTTTCCACAGAAAGTTTGCAGTGAGAAAGAAAATAAAATAAACATACGAATTGTGTCCAGAGATGGATCAGTAACTCACTTGAAAGAGGGTGATTGAGACTGGTGGGGGTGTGTGGGGGGGAGACTGATTAGAGCTCCCACCAGCCTTCCGGCTACAACCAAATGTGAAAGCCTTATCACAGAGTGGCCATCCTGTCCGTGGATTGCCGGAATACCCAACACAAACGCTGATTAACTTTCACTCTTACACTGCTGGCAGTTCCCGATGTCAAGTAACCTACAGACATGTGTGTGAATGTCACAGCTGTGAATGTATAGGGATAACAAATGATGTTTCTAAAACTATATGTGAATGGTTTTGAACTATTGGCAATACTTCAGAAAATGACAAAAGTAAAATGTATATACCATGATTACCAAAAACAGAATACAAAAATGTGTCACAAATGAAAAAGTCCTTAATTTGGGGGGGGGGGGGGGAATGAAGGACAAATAAATACTAAGAACGGAAAATGATGTCCCTTTAAGTCTACCTGATAACAATGCACTGGGTTATTTCAAGGATTATTTTGTCAATTACTTATGATGGTTTCATATTTTAACAGTTTGTTGAGACAGAAAATAGAGCTTCATTGCATAAAACATTCTGCAACTTAAAACATCTTTACAACATGGAGGATATACCACTTTGTCCACCAATATCCAAGCAATAAAATTCATTTGGGATAATTCTGCACCTTGGGATTTAAGTTTAACACCAACAGTCAGTACAAATGAAGGAAGTAGTGAGTCCTTTATGCAGTCAGACAGAAAGTACAATGTAAGGACGTGGTGCATTTTCAAACAGGAGACTGGTGCTCATGAACCATCACACTCTTTCTTCTCCTTTTCAGTAAGACACATCTAGCAACACAAAGCCATTTCCACTGCAGACCTTCTGCTTACTGCAACCCCTGCTCTCTCTTTCACAGTAAATAAAGCCATGCACATATGGCGAAGCGATCAATGAAAAACATTGTGTTACATCCATTAAGAGTTGCTATAGTGCTATAACGAGAAACCTGACCATGAACTATAAAGACTGAACTGCTTTCATCAACAATACATCGACCATACCAGTCACACCTTGAGTATTTATCTGCCATTTTCAAAATCTTTCCTCAACCCTTCTGTAAATAGATACCAAAGTTGTGTGTGCAAATCTTTAATTAAGTCGGCGTATTACCTGTAGGGTATTGAAAGCCATATGCCTATCTCACAGCAGACTTGTCAAAATAGGAAAAGTGCAGGTGTTACTAATAATCCTAATAATGGCTTCGTTCTATTCAAGTGTTCAAGAATGATTGGCAGAGACCCAGCATGCAACATATCAGGAATCTGAACTGATTAATGCCTGTTTTTACAGCTGTGTTTTTCCAACTGTGAGAAGTCAAAATGTCCTCCGTGAAAAAGTTTGCAAGAAACAAAATGTAATCTCCAAAATTAAGAGCTGTAGGCAGGTTGAAGCAAAGCAGACACAGCAATAAAAGTAAATAACATTTCATTCAGAAATGAATCCTGCAAAGCTTAAGATCCCACACATGACAGCTAAAAAGAACCAGAGTAGATTCCTCCTTTAATAACCGAAGGATTGTTACAAAGCACAAGTTTATAAAACTGACTTCACAAAGCTCAGGCCTATATTGCTTTGAAATACTCAATACATCTTCCACTACAATAGTATTGTTTGATACAAAGGTTATGGGTAAAAGAACACATGAGGAGATGGTAGAAGGA